GTCTACATAGTTAAATTTCCTTTACTACATTCTATATTTTGAAACCGGTTATTTTTACCTTATCGAATGCATAAATAATCTATTACGAAACATACATGTAGAGTTTTGGGTACTTGTCCGTTTCGCCGGCGCAAATTTCGCCAATTTTAATGACGCTACAACACGCTATATACCTGAAAACTATTAATAAATGTTAGCTCTGATTGGTTTTTCAGCCATTTTTGATGTATTATACGAAGACGCTACTGATAAAAAATATCACGACTTGCTTTGAAAATGTTGTGATAAAAGATAACCGGCGAAGCTATTCCGCTTGGCTTTGGTTTTATATTTTTTGGCGACTTTATCACCTGCGGCGGCGAAAAGGAAAGTACCGAATTTTATAACAAAGATTTATTTTTGAAGGTTTTTTTTATTACTTTTTTGATAAATATTATACAATGGAAATTCTGTGTACAGCAAAGATATAATTTATAAAATACATTGTAAATAAACCGACGTATTTACGTTTTCAAAATTGTTTTTACAAAAGTAATTGCTACAGTATTCAAATCTAAGTTCCTTATATATAGTTTTTAGAAATCATTAAGACCGTACCATACAAAAATAAAAAATGTTTTTATATAAGACATATGTTTCTTTAAAAACTATTCTGATTTATATTATTACCTCAAATGCTTTCTTAACTCAAATTATATGATTCAGCGTAGATCTTAAAAAGTACTTTGTATGGAATAAATTATAATATTCTGAGCTATCATACGAGAAGTTAATAACGAGAGATATAAAATACTTCGTCGTCGTTAAAACTTCAGCAAAGAATGTGAAAAAGTTTTTTTTAAAATGGCTTTTACGTGGCAAATAAGAATTTTTTTTTTCTAAACACCTTGAATCATGTAGCATATTTAAAATAATTTATACTTTCTATAACTGATTAGAACAATTTAAAAAAAAATGGTACGTTACATTTCTTTGGTCATGAAATTTGTTTTAAAATTAGATGGATTTCATTTCGTAACGATTTATTCATTCTTATTTTACGTCGTAATTGAATCAAAAATGCGGAAAAATCCCTTGAATATGTATAAATGCTAAAACGAAAACAAGTTTTTTTAATGAAGAAAACAAAAACCCTCCAAATCTTTTTTATGCACTTAAAAAAACTGTAAAGTTTATTAAAAGAAGGTACTAGAAGAGCTTGGGAAGAATAATAACGGGAAATTAAAATAAAATGAGAATTATATGTCAAATGAAGATTCGGATATATGAATAAAAATATTTTTACGATTAAGTCACGAAATAACTATTTTTTTTTTTATAGTATGTATTTTCAAATGAGTTTCGGACATTTCTTATTGCCACTAAAAGTGTTTATTTTACGACCATAAAATGGAATCTTTACCTGTCCCATGCCAATATGGCAATGAATAAAAGAAAAGTTTCTTAAAATTTCATGTGATATATTTCACTTTTTTTATGTCATAATTTATCTAAATTGTATTATAATGCAATTTTTTTTATTTTTAGTAATAATATCAGGTCTACCAGAAAGTTATGCCTAATTTTAGAAAAAAACTTCACTTTATTATATAATTTTCATTATTATTTATTACTTCTTACGGCTGTGCTGGAAATTTTTATATCCCATTGTAAAAAATGAATTTGGCCTAGAGGGAAAAAATTTAACCACTGATTGTCTGATACATTCTTCGTTCTGCAAAACATTTGTACTGACAGAAACAAGTGATAATTTGGGGGGACTAGGTCTAGGGACTATGGTGGATAAGACAGAATTTTTCAATCTAACTCTGCGAATTTCTAACGAGCCCTGAAAGTATTTCCTGGCCTGACACTATCATGAATCATTAGAAATCGTGCGCCAGCCTCTTTTTTGAAGTCCAATTTTTAAATAATCAAATTCCTGACAGTACTTCTCTGAATTTAGCTTTTCGTTCGGTTTGAACAGCTCAAATTATATTTGTTCTCGAATATACCACCTATAAACAACATTCTCTTTCTCAAGCTCTTCGGTTAGACTTGATGGCCGAGGTGGCCTAGTGGTCAAGGTTACGGACTTTAGCCTAATTCCGCTTAAGACCCGCGGTGTAGAAGGACTGATTTACGTTAAATCTGTTGAGGGTCTAACGTCCTTCCGTTAGTGTGGTGTGAAAGTTAGGAGTTAGGTGTCGACCTCGTCATATGATCGTGGCTCAAAAGTACGTCGCCAATACCCCTCGTGTAGCTTTATAGCATGGCGTTAATAAATTCTCATTATTACTCTCCAAGATTAGAGTTGGTGGGGAAACAATATACCACCTTTTCCTTACGCTGTTTTTATAGGTAATCCATCTTTCATCCCCATTAATCATTAGGTCCAAAAAGCAAGTTAGAGATGTGAATATGATGACACGATCATTAAAATTCTTCTTACTTAACATATGTGGGAACCTCGAGTATTTCTATACCAATCCTAGTTTCCGAATAGGGTCCGGGATGGCTTTGTTGAGCAGAACCAATGTTTTCCACAATCTCCGAAAGGACGAGCAGATCTTTTCATGCACCTAACATTAAATATAACAATATTAAAAATTATTCGATTATTTTCTTTAAAAAAAATGTTTATTTGGTGAAATCTAAAAGATTTTGAAAACTTCCTTAAGTATGTGCCTTATTTTTCCTTTTTTTTTCTAAAATTCATTCTTGTTTAGAAATGGCATCATTAATATTTTAATAAATATCGAAAATCAAAACACAGAACAAAAAAGTTCAAATAATTAAAAATTATGTTTAGAGTTTATATGTAACTGAGTTAGATAACTAACTGATCACATTTTTGTGATAAAACTTTTATTTTGTTTCTAATGGGACTGCAGGTTGTGGTGTTTTATCATTGCAAGAGAGTTGGTATCTCTTATTAGTGCGGCACCATATCGGCGGATAACAATCGCCGCAGGTAATTTTGATGCGCAATTTCCTCCCCAGTGGGAGACACCTGAGCTCTGACGATGCGAAACCTTGCTTAGGATTTTCATGTTGCCGAGAACATTCAAGCCAAACAAGTACTCAAGGGATCGTTTACATACCGCATAATAATGCGACATGACGATTTCAATTTTCTGCATCATGAAATACCACCAACTTGGGCAGGGGTCGAACCCGCAACCTTAGGCTTACAAGGCCAACGAGACAAACCAACTACACCACCCAGCTGGCTTGTGATAAAAATTGGCATTAAAAGTACAATACAAGCAAAGAGAAAGATATTATCATAAACAGACAAAGCCAATTGTTAATGCCTTCTTTCTATAATATTTTGCAAAGTCTTATTTTTAATCCAATAAAATTCAACATTTATGCTCAACATCTCTCAAAATAAAGTGATTATTTAATAAGTTAAAGTAAAAGCAAGCGAATCTTACGAAGTTTTATCTAATTATTTAATAAAACACTTTGGGAAGAGATTTTTAAAATTCAACCAAATGCACATCCACTTTCCCAAGATATTACTATGAGATCTGGAATAAAATACAAATAAATTTCGCTACAAATAAAAATCATTTATTAAATAGTTTTCAAAAGTATTCTGCGTATGCAGGAAAGATATTAAAGGAATTTGACGTTCAATTTATGATGTAGAAGAGAATTTAAAGCCACTAGAGAAAAGTTTGAACTGATTAAAGAGAAAAGAATGTTCGAATAATCGGCCGGAGGATATGGACGTTTAATTTTGTTGTCTTGAAATATTTATTTGAACTTGAGATCTCCTTTTTCAGAAGGGAAATAAATGTTTTGTTTGAATCAAATAAAATTATGTAGATTTAAGTTCTCTCTCTCTCTCTCTGGAATACAATTGCTTTAGGGAACATCGTTTTTATTATGAATACAAATTAAAAATAAATAATATATTAGGATAAAAGCTTTTTATTGAACGTTATCTTGTATCAATTTGTCATATTATGTATATGATTTAATTTATATGTATTTTCTTAAAACATAACACAGAAAATGTTGTAGTTATATAACAAAAAGAACAGGCATCGTATTATATTTTAAATCTTGAACTTCTAACCGAATACTCTTCTTTGTATTAATACACGAGTATTAGGGGTGTTTTATATGTTTTGAATACTATAAAATAAAATCTTATGTTTGTGTTGTAAATCTTTTCGGAAATAAAATAAATTTATATAAGTATATCTTAAGCTGAAAAAAAACTATGTACTCAGATGGAGTGGAGTTCTAAATTTATATTACAATACTAATAATGATTTCCTTTTTTTTTTATTTTTATTTTAGTGAGATTGCTATTGTCTTATATTTTAGTGTCAATCCTAAATTTGGGTAACTTGCAACCTTTTAGATACTAAATATGACATTATAAAAAAAATACAAATTTTGCATAAAAATTTGACATTTTTAACATGTTAATGATCTTTCAGAAAGATAACCCTAGGGTACTATCAGCAATAATCAGAAATCTAATAAAATACATTTTGACGTTATTTGTTATAGGTGTTACGTATATTTGTGAGATATATTCTTTATAATATTAAATTAGCTTTGTATAATTTATCTCTGTTAAAAATATAAAAGCAAATATCAAACAAATAAACAATTAAAGAAGAAAACCTATTTTTTTTTTAAATCAATCGCTTTTCGGTCGTTGTTTGTTCAGTGTTCGTGTTCAACAACTTAATGTGGCTACAATACCAACTGGTCATGGTCTCGAATTTGTAGCCAGCGTTGACAAGTCATAGATAGGAATCCTGATGCCACTAAAGACCCTACATGTGGTGGAGCTTATGCACCGTATTAATTGTGCCATGGCTCAAAGTCTTCACATTGCCGTGATGTGGTATGGAGAGTATGATATCTCAGGTGTTGTCCTCGTCACTTGACCACGGTTCAAAATTACGAAGTACATAGCCAATAGCTCTCGTGTTTCTATAGAGTATGAAGTAAATAAACACTTACTTCTAATTGTATTCTTCGAAACACACAGATTCATTTAACACAACCTTTACGTCACTATCCCATTTAGCTCAAATGTCAGTTGACTAAATCAGTCCTAGAGTTGACGGTAGACTTAGCACGTATCCACCTCGCCGACTCCCATTTATCGAGTAAAATATACTATCAATACCCTCAATCCTCGTCTGGTATAATTAATTTACATGAAATGATGTTAGAACACATAAGAATCTGGGATATGTTCCGTTCACAGTTTAAATGTGTGAGTGTGTGAATTGTTTCAAATAGAAATAATTAGTATGTTGAAATATGTGTTATTATGTGTAGAACTATAACCTCAAAATATATAATACTAATATTGGTTTGTGTTTTTTATAAAAAAATAACGGCAATATTTTGTTTCAAAAAAACCTTTATTTTAGGATTGTACATACTTTTGCCTATTTTTCTACATAGTTGCCGAGATTATTAATGCACTTATCATATCTTAGAACTAGGTTTTGAAAACCTTCTTCAAAGAAGTCTGCCGCCTGGTAGGACAGCCAAGAGTTCAGGGCCGCTTTCACTTCTTGTCACTGAAGCGCTTCCTGCCAAAACTGTGTTTGAGGTACCAGAAAAGGAGGAAATCATTCGGAGCAAGGTCAGGACTGTATGGTACATGGTCCAAAACCTCCCAGCCAAAAGATTCGATTAACTTCCGAATGGTTTGGGAAGTGTGAGGCATTGCGTTATCGTGGAGGAGAAAAACACCTTTTGAC